TCAGTATCAAATGTTCCTACTTCCAGAAAACGACAAATGGCAAAAACGGTTGTCAGAAACGGACAATAAGGGGCTAGAACAAACATTCGCATGGCTTTTGATATCCAGTTTCGATAGGCAAGTTTGAACAATAGCGCCCCATACAATAAAAGTAAGAGATAACATAAATTTTGCCCCTTGTACAACATAAGCGATACATCAAGCAAGCGTGGATTAAAATGCGTCGAGCCAAATGCACAGACGATTACGTCGATTTGACGTCTACAAAGCAATCAATGCATCTGGCAGTGCACTTCACAGCTGTATGCACTGTTTGCTTCATTATTTTGCAGATATCTCGGGTAGAGGCATTCGTGTGCGACTTCTTTTTCCTGTGGCGACTTTAAGTTCCAATGGGGAACAATTGTAACAGCAGTACTAAGGAACGGGTTCTGGGGAGGATAGTTTACGCGCACCAACAGTGTTAGAACCAGGAAAGGTTTCCGAGAGGGGAGAGAGGAGGAGGAGGGGAAGATCAAGTTAAAGTACGACCGGACGGGAAAGAAACGAAGGTGAGCAGCCTATTTCAAACTCGTCTAACCCTGATGCATAGAAATTTGGTCTGTGAGCTCGTCCACTATCCTATTAGACCAGTATTTGCAAGTCATTAGTATAGCCGTACATCAAGGTTTTCTCTAATGTTTGGCTATATTTTCTCATGGTAGAAGATGATGGAATTGCAGATGGGAGTTAGCGGTGGCGAAACATAACGTACTTCCGCTACGAAATATAATTTGTGCTGCTCCAATTATTCCACAGTTCTCCTGAAACCACAAAAGTGGAATCCTTGAGTGTGAATCATTAAGTAAAGTAGCAATACAAAGTTGGAAAGATTTTCGAAGGCAGCTTAGGTTTTATCGAACTTATGTCTTTCGGTTTTCTCACTTTTTGAAAGCTTACAAGACTGCTTTCTTAGATCTTTCCCTTCCAGGAGATCTGAGGCTTTTGGGGGATTTAGTGTTTTTAGAAGTCTTTAGGGAGTTTGTAGGTTCTTACACCTTAACATGCTCTCCATATATAACTGCCGTTAGATCTTGAGGTTTTTTTACTTGATTTCAGGATTTTTGAAGGTTTTTGGTGTTTTTGCGTTTTTGGGAAATCCTAAGTTCTTGTCTTCTGGAGAAAAGCGCAGAGTTGAAGCTATATACAGCATC